TGTCGCGATCGTTGCGACATCTACGTGATGCAATCTATGTAGTGCAATTGACTACCCTGCACCGCGCTTGACCACCTCCACTGCTCGCGCAGACATCCACCCACCCACCCGCAACTTGGTTTGCAAGATCTCTTAAGACCGTGACGGTTGGTACCAAATGGCACTTGGCAACGACAGCGACGCCGACGACGACAGCGACAACGACGACGACGACGCCGCCGACAACGACTACAACGACACCGACGGCGTCTCCAACGACTTCCACGACGCCGACAACGACGACGACGACGACGACACCAACGACGACGACGACGACGCCAACGCCGACGACGACGACGCCGACGACGACGACGACGATGACGACGCCGACGCCGACGACGACGACACCGACGACGACGACGACGTCAACGACGCCGACGACGACGACGACGACGGCGGCGACGACGACGACGCCGACGTCGACGACGACAAAAACGACGACGACGCCGACGCCGACGACGACGACGAAGACGACGACGACGTCGCCAACGAAGACGACGACGAGGGAGGAGGGAGGACGACGACGGCGACAACGACGACAACGACGACAACGACGAGGGAGGAGGGAGGACGGCGACGACGCGAACGACGAAGAAGGAGGAAGGATGGCGACGCCGACGACGACAACGACGAGGGAGGAGGGAAGACGACGACGACGACGACAACGACGTCGACGACGACGACGACGGCGACGAAATAGGAGTGACGACGACGAGACGCCGACGACGGACGACGACGACGACGAGGGAGGAGGAGGAAGGACGACCACGGCGACAACGACGACGGAAACGACCACGACGCCAAAGAGGACGACGACGACGAACACGAGGAACGACAGGACGACGTAGGCGACGACGACGACGACGCGGGAGGAGGGAGGACGGCGACGACGACGACGACGACGACGACGACGACGACCACGACGACGCAAGAGCGCGCGCACGCTTTTGTTGAAAATCCGTGTTGCGAAACCTTGTGTTCTTATATGCTTTTTGGACACACGATTTTGAAATCCTTCCCAAACCGATGGGTTTTGAAGGATTTCGGCATACGCGCGCGAAGACGCGCGCGTCGGCACTTCGTCCCATTTGTTGCAGAGGATTCTTGCGACGGCACGCGCGCAATGGCGTTCGACAGATTTCGACATGCGCGCGCGAAGCCCGTTTGGTAGCATTTTGTGAAAATCTTGAAAACGCAGGATTTTCTTAAGACTTCGCAAGAGCTCACGCGTAAGTTTTTTTGGCAAATCCGTGTTGCGAAACCATGTGGTTTTGTATGTATATTGGAAACTCGATTGCGAAATCCGTCCGGCACCGAAGATTGTTGAAGGATTTCGGCATGCGCACGCGACGACGCGCGCGTGCGCACTTCGTCTCGTTTTTTGCAAGGGATTTGTGGAACAGTGTTATGCTAGAACAAAAAAGTCCCCGCGTATCTTTTTAAAAATAAGAGAACCTCAGAGGGGGCCGATCCTGGCCCCTCTGGGAGCGCACATTCATATTCAGGATGGACATGTGGTCAGAATCATATATGATTTACATACCCGAAAGGGGGGTGGATAACGCCGGGCGGGGAGGGTAGAGTCTATTCTCTTTTTAGAAAGGAGAATCTACGTTATGCAACTCACCCTGCCGAACTCGAAGTTGTCAACTCCACTGCTCGCGCAATCACCCCACCCACCCACACACAACTTGGTTGCAAAACCCATGCGGCGGCGATTGGGATGGGTGCTTGGCGTTGGCTGATGCATCTCTGCGGCCGCGCACGCTCGCGCGCGAAGCGGCCAGCTCGTTTGGCGCGACCGCCGCGGCCGCAGTGGCGGCGACCGCTGGGCATTTGCCACCGGGTACTTCACCTTCGTCTGAGTCGGCGGCTTGGGCGGGCGCGGTCTCATGGCAACGCCAATGACGGCGCCGATGCTGATCACGCCGACGACGATGACGGCGCCCTCGCGTCGGTGGTGAAAGACTTGGAAAGAGTTCGACATGCTCGCGCGGCTGGCCGGGAAAGTGGCCCGCATGGTATCACTTGCCCCCCAGCACGCGCGCAAGGGCGTTCGAATGATTTCGATATGCGGCGCGAGAGGCCCGCTTGGTCGAATTTAATGATAGTTGTGAAAAAAAGAACCAATGGTTGTGTTAAGAATTCGCACTGGCGCGAGCGGAGGCATGTTCGAAAACTGACGCTGCCAAACCACATGTTTTTTTTGGTTGTGTTGTGGGGCACTCGGTTTTGAAATCCCTCCGAAACCCAAGGTTTTTGAAAAGATTTCCACATGCGCGCGCGACGACGCCCGTGCGCATATTGCGCTTCTGTTTTTCAAAGGGGTTCTTGCGACAGCACTCGCGCATTGGCGTTCGAGCGATGTCGACATGCGCGCGCGCGAGAGGCACACGTCTAGTAGCATGTGATGAAAAACTTGAAACCCGAAGGTTCTCTTAGGAATATTCTTGAGCGCGAGCGCAAGTTTTGTTTGACAACTCCTGCTGCGCAACTATACCACCACGACGCACGCGTGTGCATTTAGTCCTTTTGTGTAAGGTTTTCTTGAAAAACCGATGACTTGTGAGAAACGAATGCGCGCGCATAATATCTTCAGCAAATGATGAAGGGGGGCGATGCCGGCCTAGGATGGTATGAGTTCATATTTCGCACGGGCGATGGGGCCGAATCGCATTTAAATGGCAAAACGCGAAGGGGGCGGTTAAGTTCGGGGGAGGTAGACCTCAATACTCTTTGAGAAACGACAATCTATGCTGTGTGGTACAATCCGCGCGGTGCAACCTATGCCGCGCAATTCTGCGAGATCACGACGAAGCGGCGACGGGGTGGCGACACCGGCAACATAGTCGCCAGACCGCCGCGCTGGTCCAGACGACGCGCGGCGACTCTGCGACGGGGCGGCGACGGCAACAACATAGCCGCCAGACCGCCACACAGGCACAGACGACGGGCGGCGACGAGGCGGCGATGGGACGGCAACGGCGACAACGTAGCCGCCAGACCGCAAATGGGGAATCAACAAAAATGTGTGCATATACGTATACAGATGAATCGCTCTGTAGGATGAATATCCTCCTTGAGCGCGTAAACCAATAGAATTAGATCTCCGTGAATATGTATATACGTAGCATCCCGCAGTTGCGGATAAGAGTGAGGGGGCGGCGAAGACGTCGTCAGTCTGCGAGGCTCTGAAGAAGCCCGCCGCAGGCGCCAAACTTTTACAAATTATGCAGTGAGCCCGCCGCAAACGCCGATTCCTTCGTTAAAGCAATGTGGGTGTATCGCGGGGTGGGTCGCGGATGGGTCGCGGGTGGGCGCGGGCCGGGTCGCAGATGGGTCGCGGGTGGGTCGCGTATGGGTCGCGGGCCGGGTCGCGGGTGGGTCGCGTCGCGGGGTAGGTCACGAGTGGGTCGCGGGGTGGGTCGCGGGATGGGTCGCGGGGTGGGTCGCGGGGTGGGCCGCGGGGTGGGTCGCGGGTGGGTCGCCGGTGGGTCGCGGGTGAGTCGCGGGTAGGTCACGGGCAGGTCACGGAGTGGGTCGCGGGGTAGGTCGCGGGTTGGTCGCGGGGCGGGTCGCGGGGTGGGTCGCGGGGTGGGTCGTGGGGTGGATCGCGGGGAGGGTCGCGGGCGGGGGGTCGGGGGACGACGACGACGACGACGACGACGACGACGACGACGACGACGACGACGACGACAACAACAACAACAACAACTAGCAGAATCCTCCCCGCGGATCCCCACTTCAGCCACGCACCCAGGAACAAAAAGTGAGCGTTCGGCCCCCTCACTCTGATCAGAGTGAGGAGGCCGAACCACCCTGCGACCCACCCCGCGACCCACCCCGCGACCCACCCGCGACCCCCCCGCGACCCACCCCGCGACCCACCCGCGACCCACCCCGCGACCCACCCGCGACCCGGCCCGCGACCCATACGCGACCCACCCGCGACCCGTCCACGACCCTGCACGCGCCCACCCGCGACCCACCCGCGACCCACCCGCGACCCACCCCGCGATCCACCCACATTGCTTTAACGAAGAAAGCGGCGCCTGCGGCGGGCTCACTGCATAATTTGTCAACGTTTGGCGCCTGCACCGGGCTTCTTCAGAGCCTTGCTGACTGACGACGTCCTCGCCGCCCCCTCACTCTTATTCGTAACTGCGGGGTGGTACGTAGATATATATATATACACATTATACAGGTGTGCAATATAGTATTCCCTACTCCTTGATACTACCTCTCTCTGTTCCACCAAAAATCTGTAATTGCACAGTTAGATGTGTACGCATTGCACGGCATTGCTATACATTGCTTTGCGTTGCTTGTCACCACATTGTTTACTCCACCTAGATTGCATCACCTAGATTGCGCCACATATATTGCAGGAGATCACTGCTAGTTGTCCGCGCTGGCCATGATGTCAAAGCTGGGGGGGGCATACGGTCTTGCACCATGCCTGGGTGCGTGCATGAGGTGGGCTTTGGCGGTGAGGATTCTTGTTGTTGTCGTCGCCCTTGCCTGCGACCCCCCGCGGCCCACCCGCGACCCTCCCTCGATCCACCCTCACCCCGCGCCAGTCCACTCACTCTTATCCGCAATGCGGAGTGCTACGTATTCTGTCCGTCCGAGCTCGCAAAGACGTGGGTACATGGCCGCAGTCATGCAATCAAGAATCTGGCAAACGGGAAGCCAAGAACAAATGACCCAAGAACCTGGCCGCCCACCGAATCCGTCCGAATCTTTCGCCCCCGCATAGCTCCTTCCTCCCTCCTTCTCCTTCTCGTCCCCCTCATCCTCTTCTTCCTTCTCCTCCTCCTCCTCCTCCTCCTCCTCGTCCCCCTCCTCCTCCTCCCCATCCTCCTCCTCCTCCTCCTCCTCCTCCTCCTCCTCCTCCTCCTCCTCATCATCATCATCATCATCATCATCATCATCGTCATCATCATCAATTCCGCCCAGTCCTCGGCATCCTTGGCGTCTACCCCATCGAAATCATCCGGCTCGTCCTCCGCGTGCTTGTCGTGCACTGGACCCACGAGGCCCTCCGCATCTGGAGGCCGCTGGTTCCGGGGGGGGGGGCAGGAGGACGAGGAGGAAAGCGAGAAGACCGAGGACGAGGACAAGGAGGACGGACTCGATGCTGGAGGAGGCCCGGCTCTGGGCTCGCCAGAGCGAGAGGCTCAGGCCACCGCGCGAGCGCGCCGCCACTCGGCGTCGGGCCGTGCAGGGGTCGGAGTCGCTGCCCGCGCGGGTGCGTTGCAGGCGCGGCGTGCCGGCAGGACAGGGCGCATCCGCGATGCCAACCGATGGAGGCGGAAGCGCTGGGCAGGGAGGCGGGGGAGGAGGAGGCCAGCGTGAGAGAGGCGGGGAGGAAGGGGGGCGAGCAAGATGGCAAGGGGGACAAAGCGGCGCATAAGGAGAAGGAGGGGGAGAAGGCAGACCCGGTGCATAGCAGAAATTGGCCTGCGAAGAGGAAGAGTAGCGGCAGGCAGCATGAGTTCTGCCGTACGCAGATCACATATGTTGAGCAAGTGCAAAAATATTCAGTCACTGCACCAGACCGACTCCAGGCATCTTGTCACCGCATTTCTGCGCATATGCGTATTAATGGCAAGCTGAACTCCAGTATCCTACAACATACATGTTCTCGCACGTAATCCGTTGGAGAGAACCACTGCTACGAAACGCATTCTCCCCCACTGTTTTCCCGCATCGAAGACTTCTCAACTATCCTTCCTGCGACTGCTCCCCCCAATTCCTCCTCCTGGTTTTCTTTTCGCTTCTCCTCCTCCTAGTCCCCCTCCTTCCCCCTCCTTCCTCCTCCCTCCTCCACCATCTGTCTACTTCTGGTCGTGCTTCTCCATCGTTTCTCATCCGTACCCTTCCTCCTCTCTATCCATCTCCCTCGGTCCCCCCTACTCGTCATTCTCATGTCTCCTCTCGCCTCATCTGTCTTTTTCCTCCATGCCCCCTTTCTCCCACTTCTAATACTGTCACCCCTCCTTCATCCCATTCTTCCTCACTTCTCCTCTTCCTCCCGCTACTACGACCCCCCCACACGCCTCCAACCCCTCTCCTTATGAATAACTCCTTCCTCTCGCACCCCGAGCCCGGACGGAAGGGCGGGCTGGGCGTTTCGCATGAGACTTCGTCACCACGAATGATCCTGAAACTTGAAATTGCAACAGCGTTTCGGATGGGGGGCGGGTCGTTTTCAACATAATGCGGTTCTCGCCCCAGCGCCGCGCACACTCGTTTTCAAAGTTTGCAACAGCTTCACGGATGGAGGCACGCGGTTTTCAAAAGGTGGCTCTCGCGTTACCGCCGCGCACGCTTGCTGTGGGTGTTTGCAAAAACTTCGCGGATGGAGGGCGGTTCATTTTTCAAAATGTGGCTCTCGCTTTGGCGCCGCGAACATGCGTCTTAAAAGTTCGCAACAGTCTCACGGATGGAAGGAAGCTTCTTTTCAGATGCGGCTCTCGTCTCAGCGCCGCAGTTTGCAACCAGCTCGCACTTGCTAAGCAACCAATGCAAACCCGACCCATGCAGGTCGAACTCTCAACACCAGCGGCGGGGATCCCCTGCAGGGGCACCCGATGCCCCACTGGAGGTTGCGAGCCATCGCGCAGGACGGTCCTACCTGCTCGGCATGTGCCTGGAGGCTCGGGCGCTGCTTCATGCGGAAGGCGGCGAAAAGTGAACCCTTCGTGCCCCTATTGGGCACCGAGGACGCCCCACTAGGGCCCCTGAAGTGGTCCCAAGCGCAGAGCCCCCGAGATGCCCTTAGAAAAGTGTCCGCACCAGGAGGCAGGGGGTAGCATGACACAAGAAAGACCGCATAGGCAAGAAACCAGCTGTGAATAGGTGGTGAAGCCGTAAGCATGTAGAGACACGTTCGATCGTCAAAGCACACCCAGACACTTTTGGGGGGCGTCGCGGCCCCGCGCGGAGCGACGGGGATTACAATGCCGAGCGCAGACAGTGAAGCGCGCGCGTCTACGACGGGCCGAGCTGTCAGAGATCGTTTAGGGTCTCGCAGCCAGCAGCAGCCATAACCATCTGGGCCTGGGCAGGGAGGGGTGGTGAGTAGACAGACTGCGGCGAGTGGAAGGTGACAGAAGCCAACAGAGACTGAAGGCGCGGAGAGCGAGTAAGCCAGCGTGGACCGACGAGGAAGTGCGTCAAGGAGCGACGGGGGGAGCGAGCTGAAGGCGGCGGAGCCGCAAAACGTCGCAGGCCGAAGGAGCCGCGAAAGCCTGCGGAGCTGGGCGGCGCGCCACCAACGGCGGCGGCCGAGAGGGCGGTCCCCGAGGGAGCGGCCCAGGCCTGCCCCCCAGAAGGGGGGGGGGCCAGCAGAGAGAGAGGGGGAGGGGAGAGGGAAGGGAGAGGGAAGCGAAGGCGAACCGAAGGCGGAGAGCAGTGAAGCGGTCCAGGGCCGCAGCGTCAGCACCTGGGCCTCAGCGGGCAGTCCCAGCTGGAAGGGACCGAGGAGGCCGCGCCGCCCCAGGCAAGGGGGGGACGCAAGCAGCGGCAGAGACCCTGTGGACCCTGGGAGGAAGGCTGGGAACACGCACGGGTGCTCCACTTGAGGCAGAGCTGGCCGCTGCGAAAGGTGAGGTCCGGAACTGAAAAAAATGGAGGGGCCCATTCACCGCCACCCGCCACCTAACGTCCCAATCGACTCCGTGGGGGCAAAGGCCTGTCCTGCGAGGACAGGGGCCACGGGAGAGTTCCCTGGTGGATCCCAGCAGGCCCCACCGGTGAGTAGAGGAAGCGATCTACCCCCAGAGCTGGGATGCACGGGGGGCCAAGACGTCCTGGCTAGGCCCAGTGGAGCATAGGAGTCGGCGGTGACCGCATGTGGGAAGCCGCCTGTGATAGCAAGAGCTGGCTCCGTAGCAGGGAACGCCTGTGCTTGGGAAGGCAGGGGGGTCGCAGCGGGAGTCACCCCCGCTTCTGCGAATAGTGCTGATAGTAGGGGCGGGAGGCGGGCCTTTCCTCGGGGTACTTAGGTCCCGCGCGTGGGCCACGTGGGGGAAAAGCCAGCCAGCAGGGTAAAGTCAAGAGGGGCGAAGAAAGTCTTGAGCTCCGCACCAGAGTATGCTTGTGGCGACGGATAGTTGGTGCCGTCGGTGTTCGGCCCGCCCCTGGGCTGGCATCCCGCCCACGTGCGCCACGCGATCGCGATAAAGTGGCCAGCAGGGGTGGTGCCGCGGCAGTGGAGCGCGCGACTTTGTCAGCAAGGAGCCGTTGTATCATATCTGAACGCCCTCAGCGTCGCCTGCGGAATCCGAGGAGGTGCCAGGCATGTCGGCGGCTGTCGGCGGCAAGGCGCCCGCGGGGGGGGGCGGGGGGAACGAGCCGGGGCGCGCAGAGGCACGCTGGCGCGAGGGCGGTCTGCAGGCGGGGCGTGGGGGATGGCCAAAGGAGGGCCAGGCGCGCGGAGCGGAGGCGGTGCCGGAGGGACTGCTAAGTGGACCCCCGCGCCTGCAGCCGGGGCGACCCCGTGCAAGCCCCCAGGGTTAAGTCAGGCACGTCCCTCTGCAGGAGGACTATTCCCAAACAGTAAGAACATAGTATGAGCACGATGTTTCGAATACTTTTGGATTATGTTTGGATATGTTTTCTGACTACTTTTTATCTCGTGTTCAAAATCTGCCTGTGGGGGGACATGCCCGACCGAAACCCAGGGGCGGGGGAAGCGACGGCGGCGGCGGCGGCGGAGGCGGGGGGCCCGGGGACTGCGCCAGGCCCGGCGCGGAGGAGCGGCGGTCGGGGTGGGCCCGGCGGCCCCAGTGTCAGGTCGTACATGACCCCGTCCTCCCCTTCCTCCTCCTCCTCCTCCCCCTCCCCCTCCCTCTCCTCCTCCTCCCCTCCTCCTCCCCTCCTCCTCCTCCTCCTCCTCCTCCTCCTCCTCCTCCAATCCCTCCTCCTCTTCCTCCCTCCTCCTCCCTCCTCCTCCTCCTCCTCCTCCCTCCTCCTCCTCCTCCTCCTCCTCCTCCTCCTCCTCCTCCTCCTCCTCCTCCTCCTCCTCCTCCCACGCGCCTCCTCGGCTCCGGATGCGCTCGGACTGGCGCCCCGGGGGGCTGCGCCTCGCCCATTCCCGTGGCCTGGCGGCCCCGGTGTTAGGGTTTGAGGACGAAGCAGTGAAAATTGTTAACCCAAGCATGCTCAGAAAATTAGCGAAACATGATTTGTGAAGAATGGTGCCCAGACTATGTTCTAACTAGTTTGGAATATTCCTCCTGTAGGGGGACGTGCCCAACTGAAATCTGGTGGACGGAGCGGAAGAGCCGCCACCAGCAGGGGCAGCGGAGCGCGAGCGGTCGGCGGCGTGCGCGCGGCGAGTCGCGGGAGCCGGTGGTGGATCTCCTGGGTGTTGGGCAGGCCAGGGGTGCCGATGGCGCCGTGGTCGCGGCCAACCCAGGTGCCACCTGGTACCGGGACGGCTTCGGCGTCGTGGAATCGCCGAGCGGCCCCGAGGGAGCCTAAAGGGGTGGGGAACCGCGCAGAGACGAGTTGGCGAGAGCGCTGGAGGACCTGCCGCGGGAGGCAGGCGCTTGTGCCGATGGGAGCGCTGGAGCGCGGAGGCGCACCCACGGTCTTGGGGCCGGCGGCGGGTGCGGAAGCCCCCCACTGAGGGGACTTGGACGCTCTTCTGATACCAATGAGCTCCGCCGCAAGAGTCCGTTTCTCCCCGTGGTCCTCGTGGCGCCAGCCCAGCAGCCGCCCTTGGTAGAACGCATTGGTGAACGCTTCCAGCAGGCGAGGCTCCACTAAGTTGGGGTCATTGCGCAGGAAAGGCTGTCCCGCGCGGCGTAGCATGGGAGAGGAAGTCTTTCCACGCCAATGGGGTCCCCAAGACACCCCTAATGTCGTTGACGCGCTTGTCGAGGTTGGCGGAAGCCTTGGCGGAGTGCGCGTCGCAGCCCCGAGGCCACCCCGAGGCATAGACGTGCGTGGCAGGGTGGCCGTAGCAACCATAGGCGCGACCCAAGAAGCTGCGGAGGAGCGCCGTGGGCTGAGGGTGGGGGGGTGGCGACTGTGGTG